AAGGGCATTTAGGTTGTTTCCAGGTTCTGGCTATGACAAACAATGCTGCTATGAACATAGTTAGTTGAGCACATGTCCTTGTGGTATGATTGAGCATCCTTTGGATATATACCCAAAAGTGGTATTATTGGGTCTTGAGGAAGTTCCTAGTTTTCTGAGAAATTACCACACTAACATCTAAAGGGGTAGTACCAGCTTGCAATCCCATCAGCAATGCAGGAGTGTTCCCTTTACCCCACACCATCTCCAGCCCAAGTTATAATCAGTGTTTTTGATCTTGGTCATTCTTTCAGGTGTAAGATGGAATCTCAGAGTTGTTTTGATTTGCATTTCTCTGGTGACTAAGGATGTTGAACATTTTCATAAGGGTCTTTCAGCCATTTTAGATTCTCTGTCTACAGTTCTCTGTTTAGGTCTGTACTACATTTTTTTTTATTGGATTATGTGATCTTTTGGTGTCTAATTTCTTGAGTTCTTTGTGTATTTTGGTGATCAGAACTCTGATGTGGGGTGAGTGAAGATCTTTTCCCATTCTGTAGACTGTCGTTTTGTCTTATTGACCGTGTCCTTTGCTTTACAGAAGCTTTTCAGTTTCAGGAGGTCCCATTTGTTAATTGTTTCTCTCAGTGTCTGTGCTGCTGGGGTTATATTTCAGAAGTGGTTCCCTATGCCAGTGCATTCAAGTGTACTTCCCACTTTCTCTTCTATAAGGTTCAGTGTGGCTGACTTTATGTTGAGGTCTTTGATCCATCTGGACTTGAATTTTGTGCATGGTGATAGATATGGGTCTATTTACATTCTTCTACATGTTATATCCTGTTTGCAAGCACCATTTGTTAAATATGCTTTCTTTTTTTCATTTGATAGTTTTTGCTTCTTTATCAAAGATCAGGTGTTTGAAGATGTGTGGATTGATATCTGGGTCTTCTATTTGGTTCCATTGTTTCTCCTGTCTGTTCTCATGCCAATACCAGGCTGTTTTCAGTACTGTAGCTCTGTAGTAGAGTTTGAGTCAGGGGTTGTGATGCCTCCAGAAGTTCTTTTATTGCCTAGGACTTTTTGGGAATCCTGGGTTTTTTGCTTTTCCATTTGAAGTTGAGTGCCATTCACTTGAGGTCTTTGAAGAATTTTGCTGGGCATTGCATTGAATTTGTCTTTTGTTTGTTTTGTTTTTGTTTTTCGAGACAGGGTTTCTCTGTAGCTTTGAAGCCTGTCCTAGAACTCACTCTGTAGAGCAGGCTGGCCTCAAACTCAGAAAGATCTGCCTGCCTCTGCCTCCCGAGTGCTGGGATTAAAGGCGTGCACCACCACAGCCTGGACTGAGCCATTGCTATTCTTACAGCCCCTGCATCAAGTGGACTCACCACCTGGAATTCCAGCTCTGGAGGATTGGCGCCCTCTTCTGGTCTCTGCGTACTTACTACACACATGTTACACATACACACCATGCAGATACCCACATACAAATAAATGTAAATAATAAAATATAATCTCTAAAAATGTATAGATGCAATTCTATAAAATTCTTACGGTTTTGTAAAGGTAAAGCAACTGATACTTCTCCTGCATTTGCCTGTTCACTTGGACCTCTGGTCATTGCCTGCATATTCAGCAGTTGTATCATTTTTACCAGGAGGTGGTGGCACATGTCTTTAATCTCAGCACTCAGGAGGCAGAGGCAGGCAGATCTCTGTGAGTTTGAGGCCAGCCTGGTTTATAGAGAAAATTCTAGTTCAATAAGAGTGACACACACACACACACACACACACCCTGTCTTTAAAAAAAATTAAAATCAATTCCAAACTAAAACAAAAAATTCCACAAAACCAAAAACTAACAAAACAAAAGCCTACAAGATTTCGTTGGTTATAAAGTGGACATAAAACAATTTGTCATTATTATTTTAGTGCTGGAGATCTGGCTTGGCTTCACACACAGGGCAGGCACTTTGCCAGTGAAGCTCCACCCTCTGCTCTGGAACTCTTCTTGGTCTCCTAAAGGTCTGGGCCATGGAATCTGTGATGTTTCTGTGTTTCAGGGTCTGGCTGATGAACTCGCTCTCATTGACGCTGATGCAGACAAACTGAAGGGAGAGACCCTGGATCTTCTGCACGGCAGCCTTTTCTTCAACACTCCAAAAATCGTCTCTGGGAAAGGTTGATTTTAGTGTGATAATTTCACTTTCAAAGATTCGTAAGAAGTACTCAATTTTGTCATATGTAACGGCTTGGATACCTTATAATCCCAATATCCGTGAGGAGGAGGTAGAAGGATGATCAGGAGTTGAGGCCAGCCTCAGATACATGCTAAGCTTGAGATCAGCCTAGACTACATGAAACCCATTTCAAAAAATCAAAAACGTGGGCTGGAGATTGCTCAGTGGTTGAGAGCTTTGCCTGCTCTTCGAAAGGCCCTAAGTTCAGTTCCCAGCAACCACAAAGTGGCTCAAAACCATCTGTAACAAGATTTGGTGCCCTCTTCTGGCCTGCAGGGATACATGCAGGCAGAACACTATATACATAATAAAAAAATCAAAAAGGTAATTAACTTTACCAAACTGACTGCAATAAGTATATAATTAAAAATATCACTGATCTGAGCAGTGGTGGCACATGTCTTTAATCCCAGCACTTAGGAGGCAGAGGCAGGCAAATCTCTGAGTTCGTGGCCAGATTGGTCTACAGAGCTAGTTCCAGGACAGCTAAGGCTGTTATGTTGTGCCAGCTGTGGGCTGTGTTCTGCCACCCAGCTCCCGCCACCGGCTAGCTTTACCCGAAATAACAACACACAAACTGTATTCTTTTAAACACTGCTTGGCCCACTATATCTAGCCTCTTCTTGGCTAACTCTCGCACCTGGACTAGCCCATTTCTAATAATGTGTGTAACACCCCAAGGTTCACTTACCGGGAATATTCTAGCCTATGTCTATCCTGGGTCAGAGCTTCATCACGCGTCTACCCGGGAGAGGGGAGCATCGCCTCTCTGAGCTCACTTCCTCTTCCTCCCAGCATTCTGTTCTGTTTACTCCACCCACCTATGCTCTAACAAATAAAATGGGCCAAGGCAGTTTCTTTATTTTGTAACCAATGACCTTCCTCCATCACTGTTACACAGGGAAACTCTGTCTTGAAATATCAAATAAAAAAAAATCAAAAAATACCGGCATACATATATTAGGACCTACAATTTGAAGGCTAATTTCTGCTTGATTTATTTACTTATTTTGAGATAGAATCTTGGCATATGTCCATGGTTGACTTGAAACTCACATAGATCTGCTTGCTTCTGCCTCCGGAGTGCTTGGATAAAGGTGTGTTCCACCAAGCCCAGAGTAAAGATTTAATTCATTTATTGTTGTTTTTTTTTTTTTTTTTTTTTTTTTTTGTTTTTGTTTTTGTTTTCAGACAGATTCTATGTAGCTCTGGCTGTTGTAGAATTCGCTATGTCGACCAGGCTGACCAAAAACTCACAGAGATCCAGCTGCCTCTGCCTCTTGACTCCTGGAATTAAAGGCGTAAGCCACCACATTTGCAAGCCTGATTGTTATTATTTTTAAAAAGAATATTAAATTGCAATGGGGGAAATTTGGAAGGCAGAACAATACAAAACCCCTTTGGGGCTGGAGAGATGGCTCAGAGGTTAGTGACGCTCACTGCTCTTGTAAAGGATTTGGGTTTGATTCCCAGCACCCACGGTGTGTCTCACAACCATCTGTAACCCCAGGACCAAGAGATTTGATGTCTCCTACCAGACTCTGAGGCATTGCATTCATATGGTGTACAGACATACATGTAGGCAAAATACTCAAGCCCATAAAATATTAAATGAGTAAGTCATAAAATGACCACCACTGATGTTAGTTATTTAACTAAAAAGTATCCTGGAGAAGCACCGTAAACACTTCATATTGACCCAAAATATGTAACCGTAATTATTAGTTAATTTGCTGATTTTTCTGTTTGTCTATCTGTCTGTCTATCAACTATATGTCTATTATTACCATTATCTGCTTTTTTGAGGGTCTTTCTACATAGTTCTGGCTGCTCTGGAACTCACTATGTAGACCAGGCTGGCTTCACACTCACAGAGAGCTCCCTGCCCCTGCCTTCCAAATGCAGGGACTAAAGGTGTGCACCACCACAACCTGCCTAATTTTAGTATTTTTTTAAAATTTATTTATTTATTATGTATACAGTATCCTCAGTATTCTGTCTGCATATATGCCTACAGGTTAAAAGAGGGCACCAGATTTCACTACAGATGGTTGTGAGCCACTATGTGGTTGCTAGGATTGAACTCAGGACCTTTGGAAGAGCAGGCAGTGCTCTTAACGACTGAGCCATCTCTCCAGCCCCTATTTTAGTATTTTTTTTAGTATTTTTTAAATGATGTGTATATGTATGCACACATGCACACATATGTATATTAATGTAATTATGTGCACTTGATTGCAGGGACTTGTAGAGTTAGAGGAAGTTGGGAGCCACCAGATATGGATGCTAGGAACTGAACTTGGGTCCTCTAAAAAATCATGAAGTGTTTTTACCACTGAACCATCTCTCCAGCCCTGAGACCTTGTTTCCATTGTGGTGATTTTAAAAGTGTGATAAAGGCCCTTCTTACCAAACCTGATGACCTGAGTTCAGTTTGAGGGACCCATATGATAGAATGAGACCCTGACTCCCGCAAGTTGCTCTTTGACCTCCACATGAATTCCATGGCATGGCACACACACACACACACACACATACACGCACAAATAAATGAGAATATGAATGTCTTAGATACTTAAAGGAATTGCTAATTGAAAAAGCATCGAATAATGTTTAATAATGATAAGCAAAGCTTGTTTTATTGGGGTTGGATATAGTAATGAAATAATTTCCAGGCTGGTAATTACATTTAGTAATATTGGTGTTTTGTTTTTTGTGTGAATGAGAGATTTGACTTATTTGAATCTCAAATATGGTTTCTTATAATAATTAGAGGTAAATCTGTTCTTTCCTTTAGAATCCTAAAACAGATATAGGAATTTCCAAGAGTTCTAAACTTCTTTTCTTTGTTTTTTTGAGACAGGGTTCCTCTGTGTAACAGCTCTGACTGTCTGCAACTCACTCTATAGACCAGGCTGGCCTCGAACTCACAGAGATCCACCTGCCTCTTCTTCCCAAGTGCTAGGATTAAAATTCTGAGCCACTGCCACCTGGCGAGTTCTAAATTGGGTATTGCTAAAAAGTCAGGGCACTGGGGATTTAGTTCAGTGGTAGCATGGCTGTTAGTTCAATTCCCAGCAACACAAGAAAGCAAAAACTGAAGCCCGAGAGCTGCTGATGTCCTTGCCCCAGGCTTTTCTGACAAGTGGGAATGTGGGTTAAAGCAAATGGCAGATTAGGAAGTGGTTTTATGAAAGCTGGCAACAAGTCTTGTTTGCCTTATGCTACAGTGTGGGAGTCTTGTGTTTTTCCAAATCCAGGATGTGGAGGTACAGAAGCTTAACGAGTCGGGTGCAATGGTGTCAAACACCGTCCTCTGCTTCCTTTGTAGATTACAGTGTCTCTGCCAACTCCAAATTAGTTATCATCACAGCTGGCGCCAGGCAGAAGGTGGGAGAGTCGCGCCTTGACCTGGTCCAGCGCAATGTTGTTATCATGAAATCCATCGTTCCTGGCATAGTCCAAAACAGCCCCGACTGTAAAATCCTGATTGTCTCAAACCCAGGTAAGGACCCCGTCCCCTCCGGGGTGATGATTGGCCTGCACCATTCCATTCTAAACTCCACTAAGGTTGCCTTTGTGTGTTATTAGTCTTTGTCCACTCCAAGTCAGCCTTGTCACAAGTTTTGATAGACGCCATCATGGTGCCATCCCAGTAAGATCTGGAGCATCATATATATATATTGGTTTTTCAAGGCAGGGTTTCTGTGTAGCCATGGAGCCTGTCCTGGAACTAGCTCTTGTAGACCAGGCTGGCCTCGAACTCACAGAGCTCTGCCTGCTTCTGCCTCCTGAGTGCTGGGATTAAAGGCGTGTGCCATCACCGCCTAGCCACTTGCCAGCCTTTCCAAAGTGTAGCCCAGACATCTTATTTTTGAGGATTAGTCTGGCCAGATACTGTATGTTGACACCCTTGCTACTATCACATGTGTTTCCTAACTCTGTTATTTTTTCTTTATTTTATTTTATTTTTTGATTTACATGGGAGTTTGTGTGCATGTATGCCCATACACCACATGCATGCCTGGTACCTCTGTCAGATTGTAGTGTTGGATTCCTTGGGACTGGAATTACAGATGGTTGTAAGTTTCATTTGGGTGCTGGGAATCAAACCTGGGTCCTCTGGAAGAGCAACCAGTGAGTGTTCTTAATCACTGAGCCATCCTCACCAATCCTCCACAAAGACATTTGCAAGTCAAATCCTCCTCACCTTCAAGTCTCTTGTGGCTTCTTAAGGTTGGGTTTCATGAGTCTGTAGTATGTAGATTTGGTTACAAGGCACAGGAGTTTCCACTGCATTTGTTTAGTGATCAGTTAATGACTGGACAGAATTTTCTTTAAATGCCTAAGACCTAAAGCAATTTCCCAATCCTTCCTGCCCTCCTTTCTTGGGCGTGTCTTTGGGACCCAGATCAGCGGCTTATGATTGTGCCTTAGCCATCACGTTTCCGTTTCTGCTTGCACAAGTTGCTGTGATCTTTCCGCATTGCCCACACACCTGCAGCCTGCGCTGGCTGTGCCCACGCACTGTTCTAGGTAATGTTGATAGTGCAGGTGGCAATAGAAACAGGAAATCCAGGAGGCTAAAGAGGCAGAAAATGACCCATTGTTAGATTTGCTGAAAAGCCCTTAGAGTATCTCAGAAGATGCTGTAAGACTGTACGGGTGAGCGGTTTACATGAAAGCCCCGAGTGTCTCTACTCTTTAGATCCACTGTACTTTAAACTCCGTGGAATCTGCATTTGACTCCAGACAATGTATCTTTTTATAAAAGTGCCTGTAAATAGAAATGGCTATGGATCTTCCTCTAACGCTGTTTGAAACTGTTCTTCCTAGTGGATATTTTGACTTACGTGGTATGGAAGATAAGTGGCCTCCCTGCGACTCGCATAATTGGGAGTGGCTGTAACCTAGACTCTGCCCGTTTCCGTTACCTGATTGGAGAGAAGTTGGGTGTCCACCCTGTAAGTTGCCATGGCTACGTTCTTGGTGAGCACGGCGACTCCAGCGGTGAGTGTAGCCAGTGATGGTGTAAGTGCCCTTCCGGGGTTCAGTAACGCTTCTCTTCAGAGCCTGTTCTCGCCAGGATAGATGAATAATTTTTATTTTCTTATTTTCTTTGGTGTATGCTTTTTCTATTTGTATGCTTTCCAGACTGTTTTAATTGAGCTAGGCATGGTAGTGTCTACCTGGAATCCCAGCACTTCAGAGGTAGGAGCAGGATGATAGCTAGTTCTAGGCCAGCCTGGGCTACAAAGCAATACCCTGTCTGAAACAATGAAAAACATTTATTGATGCATACTTATGCATATGTGGAGAGTACATTGAGGTGTCTTGATCCATATGTATGTGACACAGTGATCAAGTCAGCATCTTCAGCTTTGTGCTCACCTCATAAATCTATCATTTCTCTGTGCTGAGAACACTAAAAAACCTAGCTAGTTTGAGATAAACAATATTACAAAATTATTTTTATTACTTTAAATTACATGTATGTATGCTTATCTGTGTGTGGGTATGTCCACCTGAGTGGAGGTGCCTGCAGAGGCCAGGTATTGGATCTCCCTGGAACTGGGGTACAGGTGGGTTGTGAGCTGCCTGATGTGGGTGCATTATCTGTTCTTCACTGCTGAGCCTTGTCTCCAGCCAGAGACCATACTTGCCTTTTCTAAAGACCAGGTCTCCTGAGTATCAGGCTGGCCTGAACCTTGTTCATTAGCTGAGAATGACCTTGAAGCTTGCTCCCCTGCCTCTGTTTCCCACTCTCCGAGCCCAGGACCACATAATCACAGACTACAGTCCGCTGACTCTGCAGTGGAGCACTGGCGCTCTCCTCCCTTCTGCTCAGAAGTGTGCCGCCCCTTGCCCCCCATTTCTCCTACCTTCCCTAGTACCTCATAACCTCCCTTCTCCCTGTCTCAGTCCGCTTTTTTAGATTTCATATTTAGATGACATCACTCCAGTTTCAGGGGATCCACTTATGTGCACAAATCCACTTAAAAACACACATGTACCACTAAGTAAAAATCATAGTAATTCAAACAAAAATAATAAAGTAAATCTTAACAAGAAAAACCCTAACTTCTTGTTTTTATATATGATGTGAGCTAGCACCCTAACATTAAAACCCACATAGAAAATACATCTGGGGGGCTGGAGAGATGGCTCAGTGGTTAAGAGCATTGCCTGCACTTCCAAAGGTCCTAAGTTCAATTCCCGGCAACCACATGGTGGCTCACAACCATCTGCAATGTGGTCTCGTGCCCTCTTCTGGCCTGCAGACATACACACAGACAGATATTGTATACATAATAAATAAATAAGAAAATACATCTAGGTGCAGTGGTGAACACTTGCAATATCAACACTTAAAAGGCTGGGACCTGAGGATCAGGGGTTTGCAGATATCCTCAGGTACAAAGTTCAACACTCTCTACCACCAAAAGCCAATAGTGGTGATGTATGCCTAAAATCTAATAATTTGGGGGAGGTGGGGTGGAGGCAGGCAAGTCAGAAGTTTGAGGCCATCTTTGGCTGTACACGGGATTTGAGGCCCTTTCTTAAAAACAAAGAACAAGTGGTTGGAGCTATGGCTCAGAGGTTAGAAGCACAGAGATTAGTTCCTCCAGAGGTCCTGGGTTCAATTCCTAGCAACCACATGCTGGCTCACAACCATCTATAATGAGATCTAGTGTCTTCTTCTGGCATGCAGGCACACACTCAGGCAGAACACTGTATACATAATAAAATAAATCTTAAAATAAAAAGAAGGAAACCTGTCAGTCAACTCTAGCCAAGTGTGGTGGCCGATGCTTGCCATCCAGCGCTCAGGGCAAAGTCAGGAAGATAGGAATTGGGAGGTAGCTGGGTCCTTTCTCAAAAGATCCAAACCAAAACCAGAACAGAATCCCCCGCCCCCAACAAAACACCCCAGCACTAAACTCAAGCAACTGCCTCAGCTTTGGCAAGAGGAGCAAAGAGGAGAGCTGTTTTTTTTGTTGTGTTTTCTTAGTACCCGTGTGGAGTGGTGTGAACGTTGCTGGCGTACCTCTGAAGTCCCTGAACCCAGCATTAGGAACTGACGCAGACCAGGAACAGTGGAAAAAGATCCACAATCAGGTGGTGGAAAGGTGACAGCGGTTTTGTTATTGTTAATGCCCCAATAATTATTATTAAGAATAAATTTTGGCTGGGCGTCGGTGGTGCACTGCTTTAATCCCAACACTTGGAAGGCAAAGGCAGGAGGATCTCTGTGAGTTCAAGGCCAGCATGGTCTACAGAGCAAGTACTAGGTTGGATAGGCTCAAAAGTCACAAAGAAACTTTTTCTCAAGAAACAAAACAAAAGGAATAATAAGAATAAATTTTGAGGGTAGGAGAGATGGCTCAGAGGTTAAGAGCACTGGCTCTTCTTCCAGCGGTCCTGACTACAATTCCCAACAACCACATGTTGTCTCACAACAATCTAAAATGAGGTCTGGTGCCTCTTATGGCATTCAGGCAGAACACTGTATACATAATAAATAAATAACTCTTAAAATTAAAATAAAGTTTCGAGCTTTGCTCTGGTTGTGCACACCTTTAATGCCAGCACTTGGGAGACAGAGGAAAATGGATCTCTGAGTTCAAGGCCAGCCTGGCTACAAAGTGAGTTCCGGGGCAGCTGGGGCAGTTACCCAGAGAAAGAAACCCTGTCTTTGAAAAAATGGAATAAATTTTGCAGGTGTCTGGAGAGTGCTTAAGCGCACTGGCTGCTCTTCCAAAGGTGCTGAGTTCAATTCCCAGCACCACATGGTGGCTCACAACCGTCTGTAACTCTAGCTCCAGCAATCTGCTGCCCTCTTCTGGCTTCTGTGGGAATCAAGCACATAGGCGATGCACATACATATGTACATACCTGCATACATACATAAGCACATACACACATACATGTACCTCTAGCTGGCCCAGAACTCACTATGTAGACTAGGCTAGACTGGAACTCATTGAGATTCACCTGTGCCCCCACTGTGCCTGGCTGAGATCTATCTTTAAAGACTGTAAGCCATAAACACTTGTGGAAGAAAGCGGAGAAAATGTGAATGGCAGGGCACAGACACATAGACCCTTCAGAAGCAGCACGGTTGTCTCTCCGTTGACCTCTCATGATTTTGATTTCCCTCCTTGTGCAAGCGCAGCGGCTATGAGGTCCTTCGGCTGAAGGGCTATACCTCCTGGGCTATCGGGCTCTCTGTGACAGATCTGACAGGATCAATACTGAAGAATCTTAGGAAGGTGCATCCAGTTTCCACACTGGCTAAGGTATGCCCGGAAGAAATGTTCATCTATCATTCCGGGTCACCGGTGAGGCTGAGCGTAAAGTAACTTCAGAATAAGGCAGGTGACGGAGAGTTCCCTGCAGGAAGGAGTATTGGAAGAACACAGGAGCGAGGGGCCCACCCTGTGCTCCCAGCAAAGTTGTAGAGAGCGTGAGATTCTGGGCATGGATAGGAGGTTGGGGCACTGTGAGTTTATAGACCCTGACCCTCAGTGCTCGGACCTGACATGTTTACAGCCACCCGCAAAGGCAGCCCCAGAGGGATGGGCAGCAGGAGGATGGGCATTTCGTCTTCCAGGGGTGGCCATGGGGTAGGTAGTAGGGGACAGTAGATTCTGGCCCATGCAGGCAGATGTATGGGTTGCCCAGACTATAACGGAGTCTCACAGCTGTTTCTGTAGCCTTGGCTATGGGAGTGGAGAGAACGCTGGGCCACTGGCCAGAATTCCACAGCTGAGTAACATGTGTACACGTCTCCAGGTCCCTGTCCAGCCTGAGAGTCCTAGGGTGTATCTCTAGGAAAGGTGGCAGTTAAGGGGTACAGAGGGGCAGGGTTACATCTCAAAGACATGTCCCCACATATTACACTGGGCCTGTTTGGGTAGCCCTGGGCTTGTCCTTTGGGATTTCACGTGTGAAGACTTGAGAAGCCATCTGTAGCAACGGGTGTCCAAACTCAGTGGTGCCCTCTATCAAAAGGTGCAAAGTAGAGACTTCCTGGTCACCACCTGCTTTAGCCTTCACTGTCCCCTCAGTGGTACCCAGATAGAAAGGCCACAGAAAGACAGCACCACACACTTCCCGTTAGACATCAAGGTTGCCTGTTCAGGGAGGGTGATTTCATCTTTCTGGGACCTGGCTTAAGACCCCTGGCACATTCTTCTTGTCACTGGCTGTCCGTGTGGTCCGGGACAAAGACGGCTCTGAGTCCTGCCAAGGATCACTCTGCCTTCTGCATAGCTCTGCTTGATGCTGTTGGGCTCCTGCACGTTTTTAGTCTGAAGCTTTCTTGTATGGTGGCAAAGGAAACCAGACAGTGACATGAGCTTGTGTGTTTCAGGGCTTGTACGGGATCAAGGAGGAAATCTTTCTCAGTGTTCCTTGTATCCTGGGAAGAAATGGCATCACAGACATTGTGAAAGTGAACCTGAACCCCGAGGAGGAGTCCCTGCTCAGGAAGAGTGCAGAAACGCTCTGGAATGTCCAGAAGGACCTGGAGTTATAGCTTCAGCATTCGACAGTTTCACAGATACATGATTACATAGTTCACATTGCACGTGTTTCCATATAATAAAAGGTTAAACAAAATACCGGAGACCTATGACCTGACACCAGTCCTCTTGAGATCAGAAAGGTAAATGCCAAAGATGTTTCTCCCCTCCCCTGTCTCAAAACTCCAGCGCCCTGGCTGGCCTCAGGGAGCTCTAGCCTCGAAATGCTAGGGTTAAAGGCCTGCACCACGAGGTCCAGCTGAAATTCCTGCCTTTTGTAAATCCTCTGTGTCTGCCTAGCAATGAAGTCTGTGCAAGGCGGAACTACGTTTCCACGGAACTAATGAGTGAGCTGCTCTCAACTCCACCAGAGCACATGTGCCAACTCATTGCAGCACAGCTGAAGTTCCCACACCACAGGAAATCCTTCCTCTAGCCCTGAAGTTTCACAGTGTGTTCTCTTCTATTCATGCGGCTTCATCAGTGCCCATGGCTAGGCACACTCTTTACTAAAAAATATAAGATCATGCTCCTCAAGGGGCTGGAGATTTGGCTCCGTGGTTAAGGTACTTGCTGCCTTTCCAGAGGACTCTGGTTCGGTCCCCAGCACCCACAGCCATCTGTACCTCCGGTTTCAGATGATCTGACTCCCTCTTCTGCACTCCCTGATCACCAGGCACGCACACCCGCGCGCGCACACACACACACACACACTCACACACACACACCATAGGCAGAAAATAATGATAAAACATTTTAAAAAGACCATATATGTCAGAAGGAAACATACAACTTCTGAGGTGGGGTAAGGCTGGGCTGTGCTGTGACGGGACTCTGTCCCAGTGAGCCACAGTGTTCGGGGTGCTTCAACTAAGGATGGCTGCCTAGTACTGGAGAACTGACATCCAAGGCGGGCAGGGTTTCTCTGGGTAACTGCCCCAGCTGTCCTGGAACTCGCTTTGTAGCCCAGGCTGGCCTCGAAATCACAGAGCTCCGCCTGCCTCTGCCTCCCAAGTGCTGGGATTAAAGGTGTGCGCCACCACCATCCGGCTGGGCTTCATCTTTTTTTTTTTTTTTTTTGTAATTTTTTAAAAGATTTATTATGTAGGGCTGGAGAGATGGCTCAGTGGTTAAGAGCACCGGCTGCTCTTCCAGAGGTCCTGAGTTCAATTCCCAGCAACCACATGGTGGCTCACAGCCGTCTGTAATGAGATCTGGCACCCTCCTCTGGCGTGTGGGCATACATGGAGACAGAATGTTGTATACATAATAAATAAAAAATCAAAAAAAATTTTTAAAAATTATATAAAAAAGATTTATTATGTATACAGTATTCTG